TCTATATAGATTTTATAAATTTTTATTTTATTTTATTTTTAATTATTTTAGTTCCATTTTAGTATCAAGCTAAACTACATGAAAATGAAAAATGTTTTCTTAAATATAAAAGGTATAAAAAAGGTTTTTTTTTTTATAATATAACAAAAGTTTTTTATTTCATTCAATTTTATTTTATTTCAATTTAAGTTTATTTTATTTCAAGTTTTTTATGGTTTTTAATTTTAGCTTTAATTAACTATATTAGCCCTGTTTCTTTGTAATTGTTTGTGAAATTTACTAGACATTTCTAAGTGAAAATAGTTTCTAAACCAATTAATTTTTTTCTGTGTACTGTGGACTCCTTGGAAAAAACTTGACTTGTAAATCCAATAAAAAAACAACAACAAACAAACAAAAAAATTTAATATGTATTTTAGCCTGAAGGTAATATTTTAATTGTTCATGAAATTTACTAGAACTTTCTGAGTGAAAAATTGGGTAAAACTTTAGTTTAGGGACCAATTTGCACTATGAATTAGTTGCTTATTTGCATCCATACACTCTAAAACATGCTGGGTTAAATACAACCCAGTGCTGGGTAAAATAGGGACAAACCCAGCAATTGGGTTGTACCCAACCGCTGGGTCAAAACAACCCAATTGCTGGGTTTGTCCCTATTTTACCCAGCACTGGGTTGTATTTAACCCAGCATTTTTTAGAGTGCATTACTAGCATATTGGCTGTTTATTAGTACTTAAAGCACATATTAATGCCTTATTCTACATGACCATATTTTAGATCCCTTAATCCACCTCCTAAACTTAAAACTACCTCATTAACGATGAATAAGCAGCAAATTAGGAGTTTATTGAGGAACTAGTCATAGTTAATAATTAGTTGATAGTGAGAATTGACCCCCAAAATGAAGTGTGACCAAAAATTGTTGCTACAGCAGTTTATTTATTCAGTGTAAGGCCTCCTCGGATAAAATGTGACTACTACAAATACAATTTTTAAACCAGTGAATGTGTATTTTTGGTCTGAGGGTAATAAACGCTGCAATCAGAACATGAAAGCTGATGCTGATGCTCAGTTTGTGTTTAGAAGATGTACAAACCCGTTCAAACAGACGTACCGGAATAAGGAATTTTTTGATCTCCTCCAGAGCATGACCCATTCTCGCATACGCTTCAGCGGGCGGCGCGAACACCTCGATCAGCACGTGAAGATCTTCATTAAGATGATGATACTTTGTCTCTCCGCTCTTTCGCAGTTCTTCTTCCTGTTAACGTAAGAGGTTGAAAAAAAGAAACATTTACACATTTGCACACTTTTGCTACACCAGCTGAGGTAGAGGAACTAAAAATATGCTTTTTTTTTCAAATAAATTAATAAATAAAGTATATAAAATTAAATAAAAAATGTAAAAAATAATTTACAATTAGAAGATGTTGACCTTTTTAGACCTTTGAAATATCATGTTCAGGACACTGAGGAAATTAATAAACTGCACATAGTAATTATGCCATGCATATTCAATTCAATTAAAATGTAAATTCCATATGCAAACACATTCACACTGGGCAGTGAATGTGTGTGTGTGTGTGTGGGGCGGGTGTATCTGTTAGCTGGTGGAAAGCAAAAGAGCAATTTAACAGGAACTGTGAGACAGAAACATGGTAAAGAATTACATCAGCCCACCCGTCAGATGCACAGATGATGCTGCTTTATTTTAAAAGCAGGGTGAGATTTTCATTCAGCACAGCTTTTCATTGGAGAGCAAAGTCTGCTGTTATGCGTGTCTCCTGTGCTTCCTCTGATGTCATGCAGTTATTCTGGTCTCTTAAAGACAGTCGCTGTTATGCAAATGATATGCTAATTTCATCCACAAATCTGCTGTTTACTGAAAGAGGTCAGTTTAGTGCAGATATGCTGAGGGAACGAAGTGTCTGTGTGCATGCACTGGCAGTATGCATGGGTTATGATCTAATCAACTAGTTGTCCAAAAATCTATTTAAAGGCTATAAATAGATAAATAGATATTTATTTATAGATAATAATTAATAGATAATAATTAAATAGACAAATAGATATTTATCTAAAAATAGATCAATCTAAAGACTATTTTTTATATGTTTTTTTAAGTTCCATTCATTCTCTTTAAAGCATTATTTTAACTGCACTGTTTTATGGAGAATTTAGCTTTTTAAAAATGCTAATATAAAGGTCCACTTTTAAAAAGGACCTTAAAACATTTTTTTTTAATTAAATAATTATTTAATTAAACATTATTTATTTATTTATTTATATATTCTATATTTCAGAGGTGGAGCAAGTTGTTTTGATTATTAAATCTTAAGTTTTATATATATATATATTTATTTATTTATTTGTCTTTGGAATAATATGGACTGATGGATCTTTCAAAATAAATCCAGGAACCTGTATAAAAAAAAAGTAAAAATACATACATTATTTGTATGGTACTTTCTCTCACAATTCTGACTTTTTCCCTCACAATTTGATAAAAAAAAAAAAGTCAGAACTGTTAGATATAAACTCACAATTGCGAGAAAAAAGTCAGAATTCTGAGATCAAAAAGTCGCAAGTACATTTTTTATTTTTTATTACATGGTGGAAAAAACGGAATTGCGAGATGTAAAATCAAAATTCAGGGAAACTCGCAATTGTGGCAAAAAAAAGTCCGAATTCTAGAGGGAAAAAAAGTCAGAATTACCTATTCAGTTTATTACTTGGTGGGGGAAAAAAACTGAAATGTGAGACGTAAAATCAAAATTATTGTTGAGATTTAAATCTCAAAATTATTGAGATTAAAAGGTTGCAAAAAACTTTACTTTTTACATTTTTATTCCATGGCAAAAAAAATAAATAAATAAATAAATAACTATATATATATATATATATATATATATATATATATATCTCTCTCTATAATATATATAT